AAGAGAAAGAGATCATTTGAGCCACAAAAATTTTGAGCTACCAAAACATTTTGGGGAAAAAAAAAAAATGTAGTAAACTCTTAGGTTCAGTTTATTTTCAGAGATAGAAGGATGGACTTGATAGTGAGAGGATTGTTAGTGAGAGAATTAATAGTGAGGGAATTAAGTAAAATTATGTTTGTTTTGGTGATAGTTGTTAGTATAGGGATTGTTAAATTATTTTTATATAAAATAATAATAAAAATAATAAAACAAATACAAAAACATTAAACATTAATGTTTTAAAAAAAATGCCCATCATGTAAAAAATTTTAAAAAATAAAATAAAATAAAATAAATTTAGAAAAAAATAAAATAAATAAAATAATGATTTTTACTTAACAAAAAATACAAAAAATTAAACATTAATGTTCAAAAAAATTTCGACATGTAAAAAATAAAATAAAAAATTTCTAGTCGTCGGACTATTTTTCTAATACCAAGTCCTAGAGGTCCATCCGAATCCCATCTACAAGGCCTATCTTAGCCTTTCAGCTTATCAGTCCCTTCCTCAACTCTGTAAACAAACAACATATTAATTGGGGCTCACAGCTATCCTAATCCCAATCCCCCTCGTATACCCCTAATATAAACGGGGCCTTAAATCCACACCAAATATCTATATCTATATATATATATATATATATATAATATTATGAAATTTGTTTACCACGTTTTTAAAATACATGCTAAGAAATTTTAAATATATATATATATATATAAATTTTTTGCATAAAAAATTATTAAGACAAATTTCACTAGCAAGGCAATCTATGAGGTTGACAGCTAAATTACAAAATAGTGAAAAATCTATATAATGAGTAGTTTAGGATTTTTTAAATAAATATATTTTTTGATTTTTTATAAAAAAAATATTATGTAAAAAAGTAAAAAAAAGTAGATAAAAAATAGAATAGAGATGTTGATAAATGTGACCCAAATAACTTATTTGTTAACTTATAAATTATATCTATTGAAACTAGTTTAATTGCCCAAAACCCTTGTCCTAAGGGGTTGTTTGGGGTGTCCTAAATAAGTGCACTTTTTATCTTTTTAGACTAAAAAGTTGAGGTTGAAAATATGAATGTTTTGGTTAATTTTTTGATTTTTTATGAAAAAATGTGTATTAAAAAATCGTATAAATTAATGTGTAGGAAAAAATTAGTATTGAGAGTTGTGCAACCGTAATTATTGACTTTTGGTCAAGGATTAAGACAATTATCCTCTCACCTATAAATAAACTGAAGCTTCGTACAAAAACATTTTTTTAATATAATTATTTTTAATTGTTCAAAAAAATATATGTAATTTAATTTTTTTTTTTCCTTCAAATAATTGCAAGGAAAAGAAGAACAAGCTTTCAATCTTACACCAGATTACATTTACTCCAATAAAACGTCCTGATTGCCGAAATCAAAATGGAAATGGTTAGAAACAGAGAGCACTATGATCGACGAAACAGAGAGAATTCTCGAATTTCAATCAACGCAAAGCGACTCTGGCTTCAAAGTAAACAAGAGTTCATGATGACTATCAGATATGAATCAACGAGTGTTTGTTTATCATCTCTATCAAGCTTCAAATAAGATTTCAAAAGAACCTATTGATGCGGAAAATTTTCGTAATCGTTTCCAAGAGGTAATCGTAGCAAAATCTACTAATTCTAAATAGATGATCAAGAACTAGAATTTAGATAAACAAGTGCAAGTCTCTGTAACAAAATCAAGAAGAAAGCTCAATTTTGGGGAATAATGGAGATCTGAACTCGTACCTTTTCGAACATTGAATTGCCAAAATTCGAGTTCCAAGAAAGATCGGGAGAGAGATCTGTAAGTGATATGGCAGTCGAGAGAGAGGAGATAGAGGAAGGAGCGAGAGAGATTTTGCTGCATCAATATCAAACGAAGACTCTAAAAAGAAAGAGAATTGACTTATGAAAAACTCTCATCTATTAGAGAAACAGAAATGAGTGAAGAAAAATGACTTAGACCCAGCTGGGGTGTGGGAGTCGGCTCCTATGGGACAAAAAAAACTGTTTTTTTTTTGTTTGATTTTCGGCCAACCCCAGTGCGACATGTCACTGGGGTTGTCAGGGGAGGTCACCCCCGGTTTGTAGCATTTCCCATGAGTGAAAAGAAAACACAGTTGGCCATGGTTTGATATTTCAAGATTACTAATATTATGAACTTAGACTAATGGTGTTTTGAGAAGTTGGTAAAAAATTAATTTTTTAATTTTTTTAGTCTATTTTATTTTTTTTGAGTAAAAAATATGAGAGATGACGTGACTCAAAATAGGTAAAAGACTAAAAGTTGGTTTTTTTTTTGTCTTTCCAAAAGACTCCTTAATTATCAGAAATTATTTAAAATTATCATTTTATAATTTAAATTTATTTTACACAAATCTCATACTACACAAATTTAGGGCTGGTTTGGGGTGTCCTAAAAAAATGCACTTTTTGTCTTTTTGGACTAAAAAAGACCAAAAAAAAATATGGAGGTTTGGGTTAACTTCTTGACTTTTTATGAAAAAATGTGTATTAAAAAATTGTATAAAAAAATGTGTAAGAGATGATAAGAGAGGAGTGGGCCCCAGCCATACAACCGGGTTTACAACCGGCAGACTCAATTGGAGTTGAAAATTATTGGCTAATTTTTGTACAAAGCATTGGACAGTTTTGTTTGGCCCGTGGGGGTCATCACGGGTCCCATTTTAATAATCTGAACCGTTCAATGTGTGTAACTCGTCGAACACTATGTACCTATAAAAAATCACGTTAATCGGATATCAATAGCTATCTGATCAGATCTATTTATTTTTCAATCATTAATTATAACACCATCCATTTGTTGTACATAACTGATTTGATCATATGGTTATCGATATCTGATCAATGTGATTTTTTGCAGACATATAGTACTCGACGATTTCTACACATTGATCGGTTCAGATTATTAAAACGGGACCCGTGATGAACCCCATAGGACGAACAACGGTGTGTGTAAAAACCACACCCAATCATTTCTTTTTCCTCCACTGCCGCACGCAGCACTGCCGCACACATCAATTCGGTGAATAGTGATTTTGAAGAAAATTGATTTTTTAAATTTTTTTTTTTGGTGAATAGTGATATCTTTTTGAATTTTGGAGTAATTTTTTGACTTTTTGACTTATTTAGGATAAGCCAAACCAGCCCTTAATCTCAATCACACATTTCTATTGAGGATTACTTTGGGTACCATAAGTTTTGTCCACAGACTTAGGCTTTTGAGAAATACTCTTATCATAATTTTAAAATTTCAAATTTATTATATAAAAATATATATATTATTTAGTTCAAGTTTTTAATTTTTTTTCTTTCAATGACAAGGATATGCGTTAAGTGACAAGGATATGCGTTGAAAAGATATCAAAAAAATTGTCAGTGAACGATATTTGGTGGCGGCAATGTGTACATTTAAACAGATAAATGCACATTTGACATGTGCACATGTGGATATTTATGAAAGTCTTGAACAAATATGTGTACTTTTAAACAAGTAATTGTTCTTTTGAACCAAAAGTTTCACAAATAGACCTATGGCTTGAGTGTTCTAAAATCAATACTTATCAAATTGAATTTTTTTTAAGGGTCTCAAATAATTTTATTGAAATTTATTTTCTCTCATCTTATTTTTTTTATTATTTATTTTTAAATATATTTAAAAAGTAAAAAATTGATCAAAATATGAACCAAAAAAAAAAATAATGAAAGACAAAAGAAAACTAAATTAAACTACATCTAAAAATTACAAATTCAATTAAAATATTAAAAAATCATAAAAAACAAAAAAAAAATGAAAAACAAGTCAAACTTTTTTTTAAGAAAAATAAAAATAAATAAATAGACCAAGCATTAAAAATCCCACGTCCATGTTGCTTGTTTTTCCAATTTTACCAATACTTAAATGGACCTCATGGCCAATTATAACTTTGCCTTTTCGGATCGAGCTAGCTGTTCCAATTAACATTCGACAAGCGTGAAGGGCTCTATGTTGTTCTAGAAGTTTTGCAGTGACTTTACCAAACATATTTTTGTTCTCACAAGTATATGCATATGTCGTGTGTGGTTGTTTTAAAATGAAATGAAATTAGATGATTATTTTATTATAATATTTATTTTCACGTTTTTGTGTGGAGACAAAATTTGCTACACCCGTAAATGTGATGAGTTGAATTAATGCATTGAACTTGTTATGCGGATAGATTCTGATAAGTACTATTTACTTAAATATTGAGTCTAATGGGGGGTTTAGGGGGCCTGCCCCAAGGAGAGGGGTTTTTTTTTTGAATATTTTCGTAATTTTCATGTTGCTTCCGTGTAATTCTAATTCTACATTTATAAATAAATAAGGAGCACCTCTTTTAAATAAAGAGAATTATATTTTTCTGATCATAGTAAAAATTACAGCAGCCATGGATATAACCTTATTCTGGGGTGAATCACGTAAATTCTTGTGTTATTGTGTAGGTGATTTGTTTGATTTATTTTTTCTTACTTATTTGTTATTTCGTGTCTCACTAATCTTAATTAAGAAGGATGAACTCCTAAGAGAACTTTCTCATTTTCTGTACCTATAATTAAAAATAATGAGTATTTTGGATTGTAGTAGGTAACTTGATGTTAGAGTTAATAAATTATAAGAACTCTCATTATAATAGTACAAATATTTAATTGTCGTTTGAAATACGAGTTGATTTTTTTATTTTTTAACTATTTTAGTTTGGGGTTAAAAGGTGGTTTGGGATAAGTTTTTTGATTTTTTTATTTTAGTGAGAGAAAAAATGAAATGATTATGGATTAGATCTAACATTTTATCTTATTTGGTTAAAATAGCCTATTTTATCTTATATGGTTATTTTAGCCCAAGTAATCTTCCCAAACAAACCCTTACTGTTTTGTTTATGCTCTTGACAAAATGTCCTACTTCTATTAGCTCAGTTAGTTTCTAAGATATAGATAGTGTCACATAATATTTATAAAATATATATTTAATAATATTTTTATAATATTTGAGTTTGAAATGGTGTAAGACCAGTTATGGATTTTGAACTCAAACCCAACTCATCAAGTAAGTGAAAGGATTCAAAATCATGATTGCGAACATGCTTTTTCTTCAATGCTTAGTGAAGGAGCCTATGGGCAGCTGGGGATGGATATTTGTTAATCCACATAAAATGAGCTGATTTTTATATTTGAAAAAAATGACTTTTTTTATGTCGACTTATTATATTCCAACACAAATCCTTGTATTGTTCCTCTGTTACCATACATCGTATTAGACACACAATCTTTGTAATTTGTTTATTAAAATTGAATTTCTAGTAATAATATAGTACTTCATGGTTCATTTTCTTAGAATTCATGAAGTTGTTGGCATGACTTTATTTATATTTTCTTCATTTTTCTTGTTCATTTTCAAATTCCTACTCATCTAAGTACTTAAAGTTATTTACATGGCTCGTTTGTCTATTTTTTTTGAACAAAAATAATATATATATATTTATATGAAAATTATGAATGTTTTTGGTGTTGGTTCGAATCTAGCTATGAAGGTCCTTTTGATGGTCATATAATGTCTTAGCTCCTCTATTTTCTCCTTCGACCGGTGAATCTTTCATTTCATTTTTCTGGAGTAAGTTTCAATCGGATAGTGAATGAAATAATATGAAGGTGCTTTTGATGGTCATATAATGTCCTAGCTCCTCTATTTTCTCCTTCGACCGGTGAATCTTTCATTTCATTTTTCTGGAGTAAGTTTCAATCGGATAGTGAATGAAATAACATTCGTTGAATGAGTTGAATTATTGGAGTCATTCTAGTTATCGTTGTGCTAGTCATTATTGTGGATCCTACTTTCTTATGAATTGCCTTATGAAATAGCAACAGAACTGCTCCCAACGCTGAAATATGTGATCTAATTAGACAATATTATGTTTTGAACACGAGTTGCTACAATTTTTTTTGGGTGAATTAAGAGTTGCTACAATTTCCTAATTTTATTTATAAAAAAAAATGAAAATAATATCAAACAAGCTGATTGTTTTTTATTTTGTAGCAATAGATTAGACTATATAACATATGAATTCTATTTTGGTAAAAAATTACACTACTTTTTTCAATAAATTTGAAAATTATTTTTTTCCCCAATGCTGTAAACAGGTGCTTAGACATTAATTAAACAAATATCTTAGGTAGCCGAGCATGAGTAAGCAACACGGAGATTGAAAAAATGCGCAATTCTTGTCTGAGCATGTGCACTTTGCTTACATTAAGCAAGCTAATAGCTGGTTATGTTTATTAAATACTTCCATGCTCCTAATTTAATGGATATGTTTTGACTTAAATGTGGTTTATCTTTTGGCTAAAGTCAAGCTGAAATCACTATTACAAAATCGATACACGGTTGATATGTTCCATTCCATTAATGTCAAATAATTTTAATTAACTTTGCATGTAATTTACAAAATTGAAAACACCAAAAACAAAAACAAAAACCAACTATGGTGGAATTGGACAACATCAAGAAAATCATCTAGGCTCAATGAAGCTCTCTGAAATGCCATTTCCAGAAGACTGTGTGTAAGACTGAGGCCGAGAGTGGTAAGTTTCAGACTGATCCCGAGAACTAATTTCTGCACTGACACTACTTGAATTGAGAAAGGGCGGTTGTGTTGGCTGAGGAATCTCATGATGTTCATCCTTGAGCATTTTCACGACATTCGACATGGATGGCCGCAATTCTGCAGAGGCTTGTACACAAAGTAGACCGACTTGAAGCAATCTATTGGCTTCCTCTTCTTCAAACTTACCCTCTAGGTTTGGATCAACCACTTCACATAATCTTCTCAATCTGTAGAGGTTCCAAACCTATCGAAATAGGAAAAAATAAAAATAAGGTGAATTACATTGATATTTTTCAGGTAATAGATTTGTTCATTACTCGACTGGATTATATACATATAATGTGACCAATATTTGATACAGGTCAAGATGGAAGAACAAACTCTGAAATCAAGGAGGTTAGTAGTGTGTTCATCAATAAAATCTAGCTAGTAAAGAATCTGAGATGTTGGTTGTGTTTCCGGGGTTTTGTTTTATTTTTTGAAAAACACAAAAAACTTATTTGGTGAACCTTTTTATTTTTATTTTTATTTATTATGGAAACTGTTACGTATCCACTTTTAAGGAAAAACTAAAGAGTTGTTTTCAAAACTCTTTCACACAAAAATGAGAATATTTCAAAATGAAGAGTGCTGTTGAATTTTCGTTGCTTTTTATTATTTAAAACGTGAAAAACATATTCAACATGGTCAGGACACATAATTCTAACCTTCAAGGGAGAAAGAAACGTTTGAAATGCAATGTCAATTTTTACAAGCACAAAATGTGAAATTTATCAGAAAAGAAATGAATTGCGCTGTGCACGATTTTTGCAAGGTTCGTAATACAAGGCATGAAAAAAACTAAAGATCAATGTTGAAAACTTAAAATGTGCCAGCAATGGCAGTGCTAATATGAGTCTTATCTTCTGGAAGCAATCTAGCAAGCCCGAAATCAGCAATTTTTGGCTCAAAGTCCTCGTCAAGAAGGACATTGCTCAATTTTATATCTCTATGTATGATTCTCAATTTCGATTCCTCATGAAGATAGGCCAATCCCCCGGCTGTACCCAATATAATCTTATACCTCACTTCCCAATTTAGCGGTTGAAGAACATTCTTTTTAACTGAATCAAATCAATAAACTCATTTCTAAAACATTTGAAAAAAGAAAAAAGTAAAACAAAGAAAAAATGAAGTGAATATTGGGAATCATACCAAAGAGGTGGTCATTGAGGCTTTGATTCGCAACAAATTCATAAACAAGAAGGCTTTCGGGGCCTGTAATGCTACATCCCAAGAGTTTGGCAAGATTCTTGTGATGGATATCGCTTATCAGATTGACTTCATTGAAGAAATGATCGACCCATTGTGTTGTGTTAAAGAAAAGCCTCTTTATGGCGACAGTGTGCCCATCGGGTAAAATCCCCTGTTTGGAAGGAGAGAAAGTTGGCATCAAGTTAACTTCACAGGAAAAGCAATATTACTTTGTGTTCTTGGATTGCATACGAAAAGGTTGGAATGTGAAATTACTTTGTAAACTGAACCAGATCCTCCTTGACCTAGCTTGTTGGATTGGTGAAAGTAGTTTGTGGCCTTTTCAAGAGTTTCATATGAAAAATTGAGTTTGGAGTTGTTGACAGTGAAGAGTAGAGCACCTAGTTGCTTCCTCTCTGCAACAAATACCAAGATCAATGTAAGTAACCAGTTGTGTTTTCGTTTTCTGTTTTTTGTTAAACTTGTCATTGAACTATTCCTAAAACTATTCTCAAGAAAATTTTCTGAAAGCAACCCAACTTTTTAAGAATCACTAAAAAGTCCCTTTCAAAAACTGTTTTCAGGCAAAAAAAAAAAAAAACGAAGACCATACGAAAATGATGGATTTTTCGAGCTTTTCATTGTTTAATTCCCAAAAACACAAAAAAGTGAAAACAAAACATAAACGAATAGAATAGATGTTTTGGAGCTTTTCATTATTTTTGTTCTTGAAAACACAACCAAAAAAAGAAAAACTAAAACGAAAACGAAGATGAATAAGTTTGATCCACTTCTTGGGAATGTTAGATACCTCTCCTCTTCTTGGCAAGTTTGATCCACACAAAGAAAGAAATTGCTGCAACAATCAGCAGAAAAGCCACAGCAGCAGCAGTTGAAGCCAGAATGACAGCTAAGTGATTGCCTTTTTTTTGCAATTCAACATAGAATTGTGTCAATTCAGTGCAAAATAAAAGAATTTATTGGGAAATGGCGCAGAAAACAAAAATACTTTAATAAAAATTCAAGGCACTAAGAAGTTGTATTCTGCAGAATCAGTGTTCATTTCATAGTCCCTTCAAATTCCTGTTTGGTGTGGATTTCATTTTTCATGTTTTTTCAAAATAAAATTAATGAAAAAATAACCATCATTATGCATATCAGTTCTAAAAACAATTTTGAAAACCGTTTGCCTAATTTTCCATATCAGTTCTCGGTTTTTTCTGTTTTGGAGAACAAAAAACCAAAAAAAAGAAAGAAAGAGAGACAACAATACCAAATGCGAAATCCAAACGGTGGGTATGTTTGATAACAATACCAAAAGCGAAAACCCATCGTATACAAAAATTACTAAATTCTTTTAAAAAAAAAAATAAAAAAATAAAATAGTTTGGCTTGTTTAAAAAAAATATTGTATGTAAGTCTAAAAATTAAACTTACTTTTCAAACTTAATGACGTGATAATCAATTAATATATTTAAGACAACACTTATTCTACTATCTTCTCTAATTATTAATTAATCATATTATTTACATATCATTCAATCTAAAAAATAAATATAAAATATGAAATTTTAATATCATATTCTTCCTCCGCCACCCCCACCCCCACCAACCCCCATCACTGCTCATCATCGCCATTGGCCACGTGATGACCTTCTTCAACAACCCCTCCAACAGTCATCACTGCTCATCATCACCACTGGCCACATGATGACCTTCTTCAACAAAGGAAAATGATACAACTTTAAATTTATAATTTTAATTTGAGAATTAAAAAAAAAAAAAAAAAACACAAACATCACATCACGAGTAAGATGAGCTCATTAAAACTCTCTAAGGTCCTATATTTAGAGCTTCCAATCTTTCTTTTTTGAAAATCACCTTTCGCCACCACCTCAAATCATCAGCTGATCAAAAACCACCTCAAGCCACCGATCACCCCTTTCACTAATTTTCAAACACAAATTTTTAAAACAGGTCTGTACCAAATATTTATTTATTTATTTTAACGTTACAAAAAAAAAAAAAAGAAGACACTCACCGCCATGTCCAGGTTGTCCACCACTAGTAGAATTGTAATAGAACTTCTGGGTTGAATACCTCATATAACACCCTGAATTCAAAACTCTCCCTTCTTGCTCCGCCAAACACGACCCAATCTTCACCTCTGCGTCTCCCAAACACTTTTCACAATCACTCCCATTCACAAATTCCCAACACTGAGCCAACCCATAAACCGTTAAATTCCCTCTACTCACAGACCCAACAGCGAATCTACCATTGTTAACACCTTCCAAGCTCAAATTCCTCACCAAATCACCAACATTTTCTCGAAACAGAGTCTCATTCCCACCCACAAACCCACTCGACCCACACACAGTTCGATCCAATCCACTCAAACTTTCGTTGAAGAACATGTAATCGTCGTACCTCAAGTAACACCCATCGTAGAACAATCGACCACCGCGAATCAGACGTTGGAAAGGGAGGCAACGAAGGATCTGGGTTTTGATTTGGGCGAAACAGAGGTCGCAATCGGAGCGAGAAAGGTCTTTCATGCACTCTCCAAAGGCGTAGACTGTGGTGTTGCCGGAGCCGTTGATAGCGCCGCCGTAGTATTGGGCGGAGACGAGGGGGGTCACGGCGTCGATGGCGGCGAGGAAGTTGGCGACGAAGACTTGGCGATCGGACGGTTGTGCGCTGGTGTTGGTGCATATGAGAGCTGCCTGTGTAGCCCTTGGATCCGAGAGAGATGGGGTTGTACTGAAAGTTAGGAATATGAATATACAGAGGATTGAAAAAGCCATTAGTGGAAGTGGAAGTGGGGAGAGGATTTTGGGGTGTATCTGTTTGGGAGAAGAGAAAATTTGATGATGGGATGGGATGGGATGGGATGGGATGGGAGGGATGGAAAGAGGGAAGGGAATGAATGATAGTAGTTGATAATACATCTGTCAGAAACTCAGAGTCAACGCCGCGGGGTTTAGTTTAGGAAAAAGATAAGAGACCTTGAAAGAAAAATGACGAGTATTGCCGCGTCCAGTCCACACATGCATAATTGCGTAATATATATAAAATTTTATTTTTTGCTTATTTTTAAGTTCTTAAATTCTTTCATTTTTCATATTTATTGTCTTTCAGTGATTTTTTTTTAAATTTTTTTAGATACACTTAATTTAAATGAATTTAAAAGGTAAAATATTTGTGAAGTAATTTAAAAAAGAGTATTGCTATATTTATTGAATTTGGGCTCGTTCGAATTGTTTGAATTTGTGCATGCCAATTGTTCGGCCAATCAACAGAGCGGATGCCAGTTGACATACTAGTAGACAAGAGAAACAATCGTGATTGATAGGGGTTACAACTACAGTTAACAAGGGTGATGTCGGCCATTCGACCAAACATCCTGCTTATGTAATTCGGACAATTTGGACGAGTTTAAATTCGATGGATCAATCATTTAAATTTTTTTTTAATAAATATAAAAAAAAATATGCTGAATTTTTATATTTTTATGTTTAATGAATTTTTTTTTCCCCACAAATTCTATATTTTGAATGAATTTTGTATTTTTCACAAAAAAAAAAAAAAATATTTTTCATATTTTGTTGTCTTTAAAATGAATTTTTATATTTTGTATATAATAGAACATGGGACAGTGGGGAATAATTGCTTGCTACCATACCATTGAATAAAGTGATGTGGCCAATTTTATGGTGGAGGGGTTAACAATTGGTATTCATAATTTCACCATTTTGAAAGATTAATAATATCATAATACTATCAATCTCGTTCATTTTCCAATCAAACATGTTATTAGTGGACAAAAAATTTTAAAAGGCATATAGATCCACAATATTATCAAATTTTAACTACCCCTAAACGGTCTAGAAAAAATTAAGAAATTATCAAAAAAAATCTAAAAAGTAGTTAAAATTAAGTATATGTTATGGATTTAAATTTATCTAATGTAAATCATATTTGGAATAAAATTAAAAGTCTTGTTAATAAGTATTCTTAGCTATAAGTAAAGATAATTCCACAATATTATTATGGGTGATGATGACTGGTCACATTATGGCTTCATTTGAGAAGTTGATTAGTAGAAATTGACTATTTTAGTAAGTTATTTTAGTTTTTAATTATTTTAGTAAGTTAAAATAGTTGTATTTTGGGAGAGAGTTATATTTTTTTGTAATTAGATATAATATTTGTAAGAGAAAAAGTAAAATGATTATGAGTTTAGTGTAACATTTTGTCTTGATTATTTTAACCAATTTTATCTTTTTTGTGAATTTTGACAAAAAAATCTCCCAAACCCAACTTGCCAAACACCGTCGATATCTAATTTTTGGATAATTAAATTTGGTCACACAACGTTATTTTTATTGCTAATTATGTATTTATGTGATTAAGAAAGGTATGAGATTTTTATTTTTTTTATTATAATTTTTTTGGATGTAAATAGCAGATGGGTGTGAATTGAAGGAGGGGCTTGAGGATTTTTCAATGGGAAAACCCGAATTAGGAAATAGTAGGATCCACCAAAAGAAGAACTGGGGACGCTACATCGAGCCACCAACCAGTGCGTGTGGGAGGTGATAGAGATAGAGTTTAAGATAGGCGACAAAAATTTTTAATTAAATAAATGATTAAATATTTTATACAGATGTGAGTTATATTTATTTGAGACATTTGATGATTTATTTAATAAAAAATTTAAAACTTATAACATTTTTTTAAAGGTAGGAATAGATATGGAGTTTTGTTCGACAAGTGTGGATTAGTGATAGGGTGATTATTTGTTAGAAAAAACGTTAAAGATAAGGTTTGATTTAGGATGTGAGTTAATTATTTTGAATTATTTTAATTTGAGATTAAAAAATTTCGTTTGAAATAATTTTTTTTATTTTTATAAAAGAAAAAATAAAATAATTATAATTTAAATATGATAGAGTTTAAGATAGGCTACAAAAATTTTTATTAAATAAATGAGTAAATATTTTATACAGATGTGAGTTATATTTATTTGAGACATTTGATGATTTATTTAATAAAAAATTTAGAACTTATAACATTTTTTTAAAGGTAGGAATAGATATGGAGTTTTGTTCGACAAGTGTGGATTAGTGATAGGGTGATTATTTGTTAGAAAAAACGTTAAAGATAAGGTTTGATTTAGGATGTGAGTTAATTATTTTGAATTATTTTAATTTGAGATTAAAAAATCTCGTTTGAAATAAATTTTTTCATTTTTTTTTATTTTTATAAAAAGAAAAATAAAATAATTATAATTTAAATATGATATTTTACATTATTAATTTTTTAACATATTTTTATTTATTTTTAACTAAAATAACTTTTTAGTCCAAAAATCCTCCAGCCAAAACGAGGGCGTAGCATTGCGTGGATTTTTTGGGCTGCATTGTGAAAAAAAGTCAAATAAAAAAAAGATCGTTGCAAAATTCGAGACCAGATTGCCTACGCGGCGCTGTGAGTCATGTCTGAAAAGGATATGAAGCGTCGGTTTCATTGATGTTGAAAGTTCGACCAATCAGAGATTGTTTGTAACTTGAAAGTTAGTAAGGCCTGTTACGTTGACTTTTGCCATCACTTGTTGTGCACTTGGTTTCAAAGAAGCTGTTTCGAGTGAGCCAAAAAAATCCATTTTTATTTTTATTTTTTTAAAAAATTATGTTTTATTTATTTTTTTTATCGGTCTTGTGTAGCTAAATTTTGGATTTAAAAAAAAAAGTGTACAAGATTATTTTTGTTTTCTTGTTTTTTTTTTTAATTTTTCGATTCATCTTGTTGAGTTAAATTTATAAACTTAATTTTTTTTAAAAAAATAGTCTCATAAAAAAAAAAAATTTACATGACAGTGTATACTTGAAAGGAAAATGAGTGAGAGCACTAATTAGTGCTATCACTAATGATGTGGCAGTGAGCCCTACCAAGAATGATTTGATGTTTTGACCTTGGTGTTGTATTTTTTTTCTTTTTTTATTGAGTGCCATGTCATTAGTGGTCGTTTTACAGCTCCAAAATTAGTGGTCTCTATCATTGTTGTACTTGAAAAATATTTACATATTAATGATAAATTTTACAAGTTTTAAAGTATAAAATGATAAACTTTTTAATCAATCAATAATTAATTTTAACAAATCCACTGTGTTGTAGTTTTCCTATATAAAAAAAAAGGTCATCAAATAAGCAAATCCAAACACCTACTAAGAAAAACTCATACATAATTTTTTATACAGAATAATGTAATTTAATATTTATTTTTTATTTTAGAAAAATGCTAAAAATAAGTTTTAGGATTGTTGTTAGTGTTAAAAAAATATTAAAATGTGTAATTATTTTATGATATGTAAAAAGTATATTAAAATTATAAATAATTTAGCATTCTGTGTTCTTAAAAGGGTTGCGACCTTCTAAAGCAAAACATTCATAAAAATTAATTTAGTTCTAATAATGACATTTCGTCATTTTTCTGGTATATTTTTTTGTATGAAATATCTAAATAATTTTTAAAATTTTTATTTTGTAGAAGTTATTCGGATGTTTTAAAGTACTGCTCTATGTTATTTATCTTGGGATATTTCAAAAACAAATAACATAATTATCTAAAATTAAATTAAATTAAAATGCCACATATATTTTGACACAGCAGACTACAGAATTTTCGGTTCATTTATTGAGTACAAATAGCATACCTACCGACAAGGTTGTCATAATCCAATCTAAAAAAAAACAAGATTGTCCTAGTCGGCGAGTCAGTTGCACCAAAAATTATTGAAATTGATGTAAGATTTTTATTTTTTCTTTAAGACTACCCTAAGCAGTTCCAATGGGGTTGTTTATTAATATGTCATGGTAGTTGGGCGCTTTGATATGTTTTCATTGAAATTACAAAATTTTTCTACAAATCTGAATCTAAAAACTCACATTTGTTTTGGTGCATGGTGCACCAAAAATACCCATAGAAAAGTCATATAGAGACGAAAATTTAACTTATTGTCTTCATCAAAATTTCAATAATTTCTGTCAAGGCAAGGCCGGAAAGAACCAAGAGAAGCATTGGAAGCAAAGGAATCGCAATGGAAAAACAACAAATTGACTGACCAAGAGAAAGAAAAAGAAAATATTCAACCTACAAGTTGGTTTGATCAAAAAAGACAGGACAAACAAACAATAAAAAGAGAGCCTAAACACCAGACAATGAAAAAATCAAAAGATTTTTAATGTATTCAAAATGTTGAAAATGTTAGTCATACATAATTGGAAGATCTAAAAAGTCCGGGCAGACAATTCTTGTCGCAGCTTCTTAGCACTGATGTTAGATTTTCAAGGGAAAAAAAAGAAGAGAAAAAGGTAAAAAAGAAGGGTAACTCACCCCATAATCTGATGAAGATGCTGGATACAACATGAACTTCCCACTGGAACAGTAGAATAAAATTGGAATATTTTGCAAGGAGAAAGACAAGGGACACTGCGGGAGAGGGTAGAGAAGGAAAAGTATCCCGGGTTAACCTGACTACTAAGATCTCAGAATCTGTAGCTGGGTTCAACGTCCATTGCCCATGTAAACTTTGCCAGAAGAGACTTGTTGAAAATCTGCATAGCATAGTATGATAAGCAGCAAATCCACTAGTACAAAAAATTACCTCCACTCAAGAGAAAATTGTCCCAAAAATATAAAATAAAATGGGGTAAAACTACACTTTCTACCCCCACCCTTGACATCAAATTCTAACTTTAGTCCCTCGTTTTTGAATTGCTTGCCCCTTACATGTTTGATCAAATTGCAATGTGGTCATTCCCTTAGTTTAGTGTTGAATTGCCTACTAGAAATTGTCATGTGACCATCACATGAGGTATTTTTAGGGCAAACATATAATTTATTTCTCTTTTATATTTGTTCTACATTTTTTGATAGCATTTTCTCTTTGTATAATATTTTCTAAACCTACTAGGGAAGGGGTGATGGGTGGTGGTGGTGGCGGTGGTCAGTTAGAAAATATAGTAGAGAAAATACTATGAAAAAATATACAATAATTAGTAAAGAGAACAAAATTACATTTTTGCCTTCAAAAATTTTGTGTGCGGGTCACATGACAATTTCTGCTATGAAATTTATAACACCAAACTAACAGAGTGGCTACATTGCAACTTTACCGAAAGTGCGAGGGTTGACCATTACAATTGAAAAACGAGGGGACCAGAATAGGATTTGGTATAAAATGCAAAGGTGCAATGTGTAATTTACCACCCAAAAAAAATGCCCAGTATATGCAAAGCAATTCACCTTCTCAATTGGAACTTCATGTCGCTTGCACCAAGCAACTGTGATTCTAGGATCAAGGTAGTTGATCTTTGATGTACCCAATGCCACAGTTTTCAAATCTTCTTTGGTCTCCTTGTCCCGCTCCATTTTCTCAATCTTTGCAGTGGTTTGAGCAATCTTCCTCTCCAACCTACAAAATACATTTACCACTAGCTCCAGTGAGGCAGCCTCACATAGAAGGTGTACCTTATATACACAAGCAAGGTCTAGTGCTTACGCTTCAGGGTTCAGGTTTTTCTTTGGCTTCCCATCGGCACCCTTCAACGGGGGCTTCCCTTTCTTTGCCCGAGCCAAATCTGTTTTAAACTCATCTAGCATGCCCTACAGCCAATATAACAGAATAGGTGTAAGAACCAACCACCACGATAATGCCACATGGCTCAAAAGGTAATAAGGAAATTCCCCAAAGCACAAATGCTAGAGACCCATAATTTAAATCCCCAAATTCACCCATAATGACATGGCAAGGAGTTGGGAGTTACATGGGAGTTTGTGACAAATCAAAAGTCGACACGTAACCTGCCATGTCACTGGGGGTAAAACTAGGGGAGGTTTTTAGGGGTCTCAATCATTTTCTTTTAAGAAAATCCTCCTAGCAAGTGTGTGTGAGCAAATACAAATACAACCCTCAGAGACAATGCAAGCACACGCAGGGCCCTGCAGGGAGGGAGAGAGAGACAATGGTGACATGCAAATTGTCAATATTCTAATTAGATGGTAGCTTGAACTCCCTTAAATTTTAAACATTCCTTCACACTCAAGCCCAAGGTAGAGTATTGTTCTCCCACATGAGCAGTTGAGCTTTTCATTCCTAGAGTCCAGAAATAATCACTACCTTTAATTCATCGATCTTCTCATTTAACCTTGACATTTGTGCAGAGTGGGACTTTGAGACTGTACGTTGATGATTACAAATGATAGCAACCTACAAAAAAAGCAGCAAAATTAAAATTTCCACAAACTCAATAAAAAAAACTATGATTTGCTCGTGAAAACTTATTAGCAATAGACTGCCTTTACCTCCTTGTTTGCATGCTGATAAACAACAACTTTCTCGGCAAGATCTCCACCCTTAGTTTCCCTATTCAACTATAATCACCCAGAACAAATGTCAGAAAATAACACATCTCAGAAGAAAATTGAACAGAAACATCCCAAGCGAAAAGCAGAGGACTATATGAGGGATTCAGAATTCAAAGAAAGCAAAGGAATCCTCTCATTAAAAAAAAAAAAAACCTTTTACACATGAAATATAAAAATACAAAGTGATAATAGATTAATTTACATGTCAAAACATAAAAATATTCACATACTATACTATATTGAGTTTTAAAATCCATAACTCATGACAGCTCTTTTTTCTTGACTAACCATAAGCTTATTACAACTGTTAATGTCATAAATCTCACGGACTGCTCTACTGTTCATATTAACTATATCTACACACTAAAAGCGTCTATCATCATGAAATACAATCAACCTGCTTTAGCCATAATATCAAAATGCCACCTTGGGATTAAGGGTCGGTAAGTTTGATTTGAGTTCCCATGCCACCACATATAAAGTCCTGAAATTAAATTCGCTACTTCTAATGCCACAAAAAGTGAGATCTCTCTAATGACAGAATAAAAGAAGTAATAGTAACTTCAATGGAATAAATTTTAGAAAAGAACTCTCTCTTATGGGACAGAATAGAATTAAAAAGAGCTGACAAGGGATCAAGGATTCACTGGAGTGGCAACACATGTCAAGGAACGAGAGACCAATGGAGTGACTGGGTGAGAGACTGAAGTCCAACACGCAGAGAGAGAGAGAGATTCTGAAGAGCCAAATACAGGGCTTAGAATCCAGAGAGTACAGGGATACTATTCACTGTCCTCAAAAAGCTTCTTAGAGTGTAGATATTCTTGGGTTACTATTCACTGTCCTCCAAAAGTGCACTTTTCATTCTCAAAACCCTATCCAACCAAACCAACCCTAATCCATTTCCCTAGTTATGGCCACCAATTTAACCATTAAAACGCTAAATTACTTTCTGTTTAGGCCCTTAAATAACATCTGTTATGAAAATCCAGCAAGCTGCCCTCCATCGATGTGTTAGAACAGTTCAGCTTGTTAGGATTTGTTTCGATCCTCAAAAATTTGTACAAAATTCAATGGCACAATCTCTGTCCCGCAGGGCATCAAGCTGAGGGAAACCTCCATCTCTTGCCGCCAAGCCACAAGACATCACTAGAGTCCAATGGTGCATGCTAAAAACTTCAGTATACCTAAGCCCCACCTCTTAGCTTGGGTCTAAGAAAGTGGCATGGTACAACCACAGTAATGGGATAAGATCAAATGAAGTTGGCACGGTAAACGGTCACGATAGTGCAATAAGGTTACCTGCCTCAATCAAGTGCTGAAGCATGCAATATAACCATTGCAGTACAACTTAGGCGCATACAAGCTGCTAGCAAGTCCTCCAATATCACCTGGACCATGAATGGGTGCTTATGCTACGCATCATCCATGTGTATACAACACACAGTGGTTCAGTAGATATCTGCAACTTTCAACTCCCATATTTTACAATTTGATGGCCAAACAAACGAGGACATCAAGACAGACTCACATAAGGTGTACCCAACGTTGGTTAACCCATTACATATATTTCACGGGAAAAAAATTACTTAGTTGTGGAAACACCAAGCTTGCATCTTACCATATCATCCAAAGTGATAGATGCATTATATGTACGGAAAACTTTAGCTGTGAGGCCAGGCATGAGCTCCTTCAGATGAGCATTCAGTTTACTGGTATCCAGCTTGTCAAAAAGATCATCACCGCCTTTTTTTCCTGTAGAAAAATATGAAGAACGTACTCACATTTCCCAATCATGAGATGCAAAAAGAGACATTTTGAAACAAAAGGACATCCACTAACCAGTTCGGAACTGCTGAATTGCCCTAAACACAGGAAGTTCAACTTCAACCTCATTTTGGTATCTAATTGAATCTTTACCGAGGAAGTCAAACTGGAAAATCAGAAAATTGATTTTTTATCAATTGCAATTAAAGAACAACTTGTACTGTCATATGCTTGTAGAAGCTTCAAAATATTACAGGAACTGATTCTACTTTCATAGCATAAAGTCCACCTCAAGTCTTTTAAAACTTCAAAATCTCAAAATAATAACCCATCAAACTTGTAAAAATTAGTTTCATTTGTGCCACAACTAAATCCAATCCCAATTTAGAATTAAATCCTTGCTATCTGAGACAGAAAATCCATAATACCTTCAAAATATTTGGGGGTACTGGTTCTACATTTTCTACTTTCAATGTGCAGCAACCAACAGTATCAGCTTCATCGTCATCCTGCGAGACACCAATCAATTTTTAGAAAGAGTCTGCATAACATGTTTTTTCTTTTCTTTATTTTATTTTGTTTTTTTTATGTTTCTACTTGCAAGATCGTGGATGACTATACATGCACACATGCACACTATATATATAAAGCAAATATAGCACTGTTAGCATAGGTAAAATGGCCTGCATCGCTAAGTTTCCTACACGGTAAAAGGTTTCCACTCTACTCAACAGAGCCTTAACCGATTACCTGGTGTAGGCTTCTCAACTATGCTGCTCCATCAGGAGGAAAAAGAATGTGTCTTCCATGAATGAGAAAATAAAATTTAAGTATAAATAGGACAAAGATATTTATGCACATCACACCTTCTCATTGCCTGCCCTGAGAGCTAGTTTATCAATAAGATAGGTAGCAACAGCTATTTGCCGCCTTGTGATATCTTTATTGGTAAAATCTTTAGTATAAGCTGTTCTGATGCCTTGTATGTAGTCCTAAAATCAAATAATGAGTTACAGTTAGAGGATGAGAAATTACTATAAGAAAATGCCACATTGGATGTTAGGTGCAATTTTATATAAAGTACCTTCAAAAGCCTTGCTTTCTCATATTTCTCCTTATCACTTTGCCCTTTCAAAGAACTGCTAGCTGCCAAGAACACGTATTTGAATTCTTTTGGATTGATTGGATCATTCCAAAAAGCTAGCCATGTAACCGTATTGTCATGCCTTATCTCTTTCCAGCTGCAAAGATCAGATATCTGTGAAGTTAATTATTACACACAAAATATCTTATATAGAGATATAAATTTGTTAGTTTTTGAATTAAATTGTGGCAGAAACAACCACCTTTCACCAGCAATAGGGCATTCTGGAATTGGGGCATCCTTTCCAATATTTATAGTAATGTCACTAGGCCGAATGCGTTTTTTCAGCTTACCCATCTGAACAACATAAATAAAAAAATCAACAGTAAGTTTTGAATGAAAACTTGAGACTATTGCAAAGTCTTCTAGATACAGCTACAACACATCACATATTCCATCTTGGACTATTTAAATTCTTCATCGCTGGTAGAAAGCTATCAATAGAACCTTTGGGTGCTCCCCACGGCCTCGAAACAACCCAGGCGGTTCGACTCTAAAGTTTCCAACCTGCAGTTTGAGATTTGATCAGACTCTATATGAATGCTTTGAGAATGATGAGAAAATGCATCCAAAGCAACTATACTATGTCAGTATGTCATAGCTAGCAAATTGATATATTTCAGAAGGATGTGGACCCCAATGTATCTTAGAATAGTCTTGGATGGCAGGAATTAAAGATAAGGAATTGGAATCCCACTACCAAGAACCCCATCCCTAATAACAAAATGAAACTTTCCAATCAAATATATAAGTGATAATCAGAGCCGAGAGTTCGTATCCAAGTGATATATACTGAGAAAAAGTTGCTCCATGTGAACAGCTCACTTGAGTAGTTCTTTCAAATTTCTTTTTGTACAATATCCAACTTCGGAAATGATAAAAGGAGAAAGAGAGAGAGAGAGAGAGAGAGAGAGAGAGAGGGAGGGGGGGTGGAAGGGGTGCCATTACAGAAAACAAGTTATTACTCTTAGTTAGAATGCTCAAGCCTTCTCTATAAATGGAGTTGACTAAAACGAATTGATGTTGGGGCAGAATATCTATTATAGCTTTTCTGTTTTTAACAGGTAAATAGTAAATTTCGTATTCACAAAGCAGAGCAAGGCATGACACCCAAATTCCAAAGCATGATACATAAATCAAAGCTAGCAGAAACCTTCTCTTTGACACCATCAAGGCTAACCCACATGTACTTTTCCTCTTGTTTCAGTTTTTCTTCTCTCAAGGCCTTCTTCTCCTGCATGAACAGAAACTCTCAGTTTGATAAATTTTAGAAGTACATAAATATCACTCAAAATATTTTCTGAATGAATCAGGCAATTATAGACAAATCACTGTACAAATACAAATAATAGTTATCCTGTGAAACTGTTGGATCAGAAACTGAATCTACCTCAAAGCAGTGGTAGATTAGGGAGTAAGTATTGCCACAGATGTCATTATATTATATTGAGCAAAACTCATAGCAAATAAATATTTTGAGAGTAAAATCAGATTGGATCTTGAAAATAAGGATTAGATTAATAGGATCTTTGAAGTAGTTATCCTTATTTTATGGTGTAGATGACCTTAGAGAATTTTCTTGTTTATGGTAGATGACATATGCTTAAATGCAAATTTATTACTCAAATTGTGTTAAAACACTTGAGGATGCACTCAAACCCTCTTTAGTGGTAGACTATCAGTCCAGGTTGCCTCTGAACAGTCAATTTCATCCCTCCGTTCTTGTTCTAGCAACATTTTTCTAGTACTTTTGGGTCAAACGATTGTAACTTTTGGTTAAAGAACATCAAGACTAAGTAATGGAATTAGAGGCTACATAGAGATTTGGATGTCAAAGAACTAGATATTTTGATGGAGATGAATGAGTTACTGAAAAGTTGGGTAATTCAATATACTGTTTAAAGGCACCAATGAGGTGCACAACCCGCATACAAGGACAAATGTATAGCTTGAGAGCCTCGCTACACCAAAAACCTATTTTAAGTCCTCTACAAAATCCAAAAATTGATGCAAGGATGGAGAAACATAGAAACACTGTTATCATAAGTCTAAGAACAAGTACATAGACGGCACCCCCTTGATGCCTTTTTAATATATACAAGTTACTTACAAAAACTAATAAAAATATAACTATAAGTCGAAGAACTTCATAGAATCCAAGGCCAGTAGGTAAAGAGGTGCCACAATGTAAAATGGATAATAGCACCTCGTCATTGCAAGAATCAAACCAAAGAGAAGTTTAACTTTAGTCAGGGATCAAGTTCATTAGCAAGTGTTGTTCAATAAAAAGTTCATTAGAAAGTAAAATCTTAATTTTTCCAAGCATAGCACACTACAGAAACTAAACAGAATTGGTTAATGGTAACTTTTGGAAACAAAAACAGAGTAAAAGTACGAGAATATTGTTTGGTTAAAGATTTATAAACTCATCAAGCCTCTAGAGTTCCAGTATCCATTTGCAACACAAAGCCAGAAAGTTTGTAGGCAATAAACTTACTTCTGAACTCATTTGCTTCTTCTTCTCCTTTTCCCTTTGATGCCATTCATATATTGGGGTGAAATTGCAATCTTCCAACCTCTGAATTACATGGTTTTTCCCAAGTATTTTTCTCCAGTCATTCATAAAATTCTCTTTGAATGTAGGTTTGTTCATATAATCAGTATCTAACATCACTGCATACATTGTTGCAACCTGCAAAATAATTCATAAATAAAACAGACAATGCGGATGACTATGAGGAAGAGAACTTCCAAAATGAATGCAATAACAGTGAAAACTGAATTAATGAATAGAAACAAATAAGCTATACATTACGATTAAGAATCAGAAAAGATTAAGAAAGAGAGAAACCTCCTCTTGTTCAGGAGTCAAATCAACCGGCTTCCCCTTGTAGAGCATCTTAACCCCATGAGGCTTATATGGAGGTGGGAAAATGACACCATTGTGAACCAAGGTAGTCCATTTCTGCCCTTCGCCGGAGCTGGGGAGCATCTTGGATGACTTAGAGTACATTGATTTTTTCACCTGTTTCTTATTCTTACTTGATTTTTTGAACGAAGACGAAACAACTTTTGTTGCTTTTTGTTTTGTAGCCAATGATTTATTACCTGATGAAATTGGCTTCTTCAATCTCTCGGAAATAGGAACGTGATCATAATCATCGGCTTCCTTTTCTGCTTTCACAGATACTTGTTTACCAGTGATTGGCAAGGATCCATCACCAATCTTTGGCTTTTTAAATGAAGAATGACTTGAAGATTTGACCTCACCTAAAGGTCTCTTATTCAACACTGTAGAAGATTTCTTAAGTTGGTTATCTTTCATGGTATAACCATTTTGCTGAAGTTTCAATGCCATAGGTTTATTGTCATCAAACTCGTGGGATTTGTTAGTAGATGGTCCTGCATTTGACTTTACCTGAAACTTTGATGATAAAGGAATTTCATCATCCGAGTCTTCAGTTTTGACTCTGGGTTTTTGAAGCAGTGGTGAACCTGGACTAGAAGTGCTTGGCCCTTTGTTGGCGTGATTCAAGTTTCCCTTTGGTAATCCAGCAAAAAGCCTAGCGCTCAGTGGTTTATCATCTTCGGAATCATCAGAATCACAATGTGGTTCACCAGCAGAATTAATCGACTGCTTCTCCTCCTTAATAATAGCAGAGGTTGTATTCTGTTGTGACGAATGTTTTAATTGACCCGTTGCTGAAGTTGACATTTTTGAATTTGGCACTGGCAATTTCACGGGCGATGCCTTAGAAGATGAAGTTGAGGCTTTTGGGCTAGCCAAAGGAGATTTTACAGCAGACAGTTTGGCAGATGAAGTTGAAGCTTGCGGGCTTCCTATTGGAGATTTCACCGGGGATGCCTTGGAGGACATAACCGGCTTACCCTTTTGAGAAATCGAGTTCTGACTACTGTGAGAACGTACTTCAGAGGACACAACCGGCTTACCCTTCTGGGAAACGGGGTTATGCCCGCTCGAAGAACGTACTTCGGATACTTGTTTCCCTGACTGCCCATCATGCCTTTGAGAAGATGACTTATTTTTTTCCAAGTTCAATTTCGTGTTATTTTTTTCCAAGTTCAATTGATTTTGCTTTGATCCTGTGTTACTTCTCTTGAAAATTAAAGGTGCATCATCGTCATCATCATCATCAAAAGCATTCATCATTTTTGGTTTCGCACAAGTCTGAACAGCCATTGTCCAATTGGCATATATATATATATCACCTCAATTTCTGCAACCATTATCATTATGTTTTAAAATTTTATAACCAATTCAAATTATAAACAAATTTCACATGAATCAAAACCTGAGAATCTTCATTTATTCTATGAATTAAAAATGAAATTGATAACATCGATCAAGTAAGAAAACAAACATATTGAATCGAACGAATTTGAGGAGCTGAACCACGAAATAAACACAGAATCAAAAATTGAATTGGATAGATCTAAGAAAAACGAGAATCGAAGGATGGATCTGAAAAGAACGTACCTTGGTGGTGAAGTGAAAGCTGGGATTGATTGGCGCGAGTCACGCGATCGGTGACTATCGGAGACCTTGGAATTTTTTTCTCAGTGAACGCCGTCGTCAAGATATGGCTCGGTATTTGTGTTTTAAGGGTGGGCATTCACCGAAATCTGGGTCGGGTTCGGGTTGGAGACAGGTTACATAGAGCACTTATCGGATCTTGTCGGGTTCGAATAAATTTCGTGTCCACGGCCTCCGGGCCAGCAGCATTCCTAAAACCTTCTGTCCAAATTAATTTTGAATTTTTTACTTTTCGTGCTTTGTTAATTCTTTCATATTTTTTATTTTTTATATTTTTTTAAATGTACTTAAATTAGATTCACTTAAAATGTTATAATCTTTTTGGGGAAATTGCTAAAATAAAAAATTCAATAAATATAAAAAAAATTAATATGTAGTTTTTTTTGGTATTTTTTTAGTAATTTTTGTATTTACTAATTTTTTTTATAAAAATTCTCAAATATTTTTACTTTTTAAGTACATCTAAACAACCCCTTAAAAAAAAAAAAGTAGTACATCTAAAAAGTAAAAAAATAATAATTGAAAAAACCTTAAAATTTCATTAAAGACACAAAAATATGAAGAAAAAAAACAGAATTTTTAAATTCGTTTAATAAAAACTTCAACTAAACCATCAATTTGGATCGCATGATTTAATTAAAGTGGCTAAGTTACTGATTTAAACTATTTGATTTTATTAAAATGTTTAAATTGTTGATTTAGTTTGTTTGCTTTGATTAAAATGATAAAACTGTTCAAAATACTCATTTAAATTGACTAAAATTGCTGATTGGTTATTTGAAAGGGTAAATTATAAATACACCCTCTGAGATTTGCTTAAAATACGAATTACCTCATGTGGTTTGGAAAATTACAAATAACTCATTATCAGAATTTTTCATTTAACAGAATTAATTGAAAAGGTAAAATTTCTAACTGTTTACCTATACAATAATAAAATTATTTGAATTATTAATTCAAATAAAATTTTAACATTATTAAAAACTGTTAACTAACTTGATGATTTATTAATAAAATGACCTATTTGTTATGAAATTAGAAACCTTAGGGGGTATAATGTAATTTCTAGAACTACAGAGGGTAAATTGTAATTTAAGTAAACCTCAGGGGTGTGTTTGTAATTTATCCTATTTTAAACCATTTCATTTTATTAAAATCACAAAATGGTTATTTTTTTTAAAAAAAAAAAAAAAAAACTTGCTTTCAATAAAATGGCAAAAGGGAATTTAAACCACTTGATTTGAATAAAAATAAATAAATAAAAAAATATTTTTAAAAAAACATATTTTAAACCACTTGATTTGAATAAAATAAAATAAATAAAAAAATATTTAAAAAAAACATATTTTAAACCACTTAATCTGAATAAAATGTCAAGCCAAACCTGATTGCCTCTACTATAAAATTTTGGTAATACTGAAAAACCAAAGGAAAAATGAAAGCAAAGTCCTATTTCTGTTATTAAATTTTCATTACTCAATGAAAATTTATCATGAGAAAAGTAAAACTTATTTTAGGAGCGGAACCAAAGATTTGAACTCAAGGGACCAACCTTCGGCTCTTCTTTTTTACCTATTATTTTGAAAAATACATTTTCACAGCCAAATGTTTCATCCTCAATCATCTTAAGTCTGATTTCAAAGTCACAATTGATGATTAAATATTTATTGCATTGGCTATATTTTATTTTTTATTTTTTTGGGTAATATATTTTTACTTGGGTCTAAATTTTTATAAAATTCATGTGTGCATTTACTTGTTACATTGGGCTACATTAAAGTTTAATTGCAAATTATTTTAGAATCAAGTTGATGACCATTAATGACTAAATATTGTCAACAAAAAGTTTGAATTTTAATACACATTTGACATATTACCATATATTTATATATTTTTCATATAAGTCAATACATTTTATACATTTTTCACATAATTCTATACATTTTATAAAACTGATTTTATACATATATAAAGTGAAACATGTATTACTACTTATTATTACTATAAATTTAGGGTCTCTCCACATTTTGGTATAGAACCTGGTGTGCAGAGACTTTCGCCAAAAATTATAATAAAAATAAAAATAAAAAATCAGAGAATTACTTTGAAAATGAGGTCATGGATTGTCTCCCTCAAAAAAAATTTATATTTTATGTACCAATTACTCATAGTCATTGAAGCATGCCTTGAGATTTCAGTAATTTAAAATTTTCATATAATTCAACAATTGTAAGCAGATTATAATAAAGGAGTATCAAGTTTTTTGAGATTGAAAATGCTCAACCTAAGAATAAAATGTATTAACCAGAGTTATTGTCTAAGAATAAAATGTATTAACCAGAATTATTATTTTGAATGTGATCTATACCGCATCAGGTTTAAATCTACATATACAACACTTTACCTTTTGAGGTATTTTTTTCAGAATGAATAATTTTACCAGAAAGCTATAAAGAGTAGTCAGATAGAAAATATCAAGTGGTGCTTCGAAAGTATCTGAATAATTATCAAGTGGTGCTTCGAAAGTATCTCAATAATTACCCAATAATCAAACATGTATAGGTGTCTCATCAGTGGGTGTGGGAGCAGAGCCTACCCTTGTACCTCTTTCACTCCTACTGTTATCAGCAAACTTCAAGCTTGCCTGGTGAAAACTTTTCTCTTTCTCTGCTAAATTCCATTCAGACATGTAATAGTCTTCTTCTGTGGCTCCTTTAGAGGATGGACCACAAAACATGCCACCCCATTGTGGAAAGTATATCAAAACCATTGGCAGTGTGCAACATATCATCATAATGCCCATGAGAGTTATGCCTGTCTCCGTTTTGTACCTGGATCCTCTAAAGAAAATCACTTGTGTTAGAACTGCGCCGACGTTTCCACCGCCTCCGGTCATGCCAGAGATTATGCCCAGTGACCTGAAGAATGAGAGATACGTAGAGGAATAATATGAGTACATAAAATTATGAGGAGAATATTGGAAATCAAGCAAGCTATTTGTTAATATAATAATACCAAGCATGCTTATATCATTAATATATATTTAATAGTTAGTGCTTCTCCATCAGATGATTTATTGTAGTGCTTTAGGTAGTGCCTTCAACTTTCGGCTACTTTTATTTTTATATGTTTTCTTTCATAATGTTGTATCATAATGATGTTGTATTAGCTCTCCTATATAATGGAGCCTTCTCTTCATGTTTAATACACAATTGAATCACAGAGTGTATTAGCTCTTTCAATCACTCTCTCAATATTTCTTTCAACATGATAGCAAAACCAGCACAGGACTTCCCAGAACAATGCCACAACAGTGCCACAACAATACAAAATTCATGCACCCTTCACCTTAAGCAATGTCTGACCTGTTGAAGATTATGAACAAAGTCATGCACTGTATAATGCACACCTGGTAAACTGCTCTTAGCCAAAAACGTTATCCTTGTCTTCACAATGTCCTCCAAATCATCAAAATTAGGATGGCCACCATTAAACAATATATCATCCTCAACTTCCAAATCGACCAAAATAAGATTAGCGGCACAAGTTTCCACACCTTTACCTCTTTTTTCTTAATCGATGCCCGTGCCCACCAATGTAACAAAGCCTCAACCCACCCAAGGATTACCCACCACATATCCCACCATCTTAAAATTCTAGACCAGACTCTCCAAATCAGTGGGCAATGTAATAGAACATGGTTTACACTTTCAATTTCCTATTTACAGAAAACACAATGTGTCGTAGCATTTACACCCAACACCCCAATTCTCTGCACGAAATCAGAAGTTTTCACCATTCCTCTCCATGCTAACTAGCCAAAGAATTGGATTTTGGGAGGAGCTACAGTCTGCCACAACTCATTCGTAATACGCAACTTCTGTCCCTTAGCTACTTGGAACCAATTCCATACAGATGCCACTGAAAACTGGCCTAATAGATCTAGCTCCCACCTCAAATAGTCAGCCAGATTCCCCTTGATTATAGGTACTGCACTCAGCCACTTGCATAACCTGGTAACCTCCACTTCTTTCTATGCTCGTAGCCCTCTTCTAAATACCAAATTCCATTTCCCTGTCCTCGCCTGACTTAGATTGTAGTGCATCAAGGAGCCTTCCTTTTCCATAAAGAGACTAAACAATCTTGGAAACTCCTCACTGAGCCTACAACTATTCTACCACAGATCAGTCCAGAAGTGAATTCATTCTCCATTCCCAACCTTTATATTTGCATTTTCGAAATAAAAGGCCACCACCCACCACCATATCTATCATATGTGCTGTAGATTACAGCCCTCCACAAGGCTTTGTCTTCAACACCATATCTCCACCACCATTTTAGTAATAAACAAACATTCATTTCACTTATACTTCTAACCCCTAACTGTGGATACCCCATATTTGACCGCCCGCAAGGCTCGAGCGCTTTACTCGGAACACTCAATGATGAAAGTGGTATTGTGCGTGGTTCGGGGTCTCAATGAAGGAGTCTTGTTCAAGCTTCGAAACAACCCCAAAATTTCCATATTCCCATTGTTCATACCTAAGAAATCCCTTTTTACACCTTATGCCACCATGTATTGAGGTTAAAATAAGAAAATAGGAGAATTCATTGAGGGCCGGCCATGGCTATTGAGGGCCGATCAGGCTTCAGTAGCGAGAAACACTGTTCTGGGCGGGAGGCTGCCAGCTGTCCATTTTTAAAGATATTTATCACCTTTTGTGCTCAAATTCTATAAATACAACCATACACCACTGTTTTGGGGGTTGAGCAATTGAGAGAAAAGCCTATACACATAGAGAGAGCTCCTCTTTCCTCCTTCTTCCATTGTAAGCTACCTTTGAGTTAACCTATCAACCTTATATCATCCATATGCTCCATACACAACCATGACTCATCATCTTAGAGTCTTGGTTGACCCTTGAGAAGCATAATTCAAGCTTGAGAGTGTGTTAAGTGTGAGTTTGATCATCAACCAAAGCTTACTCCATTTTGAGAGATATAAGCTTGTAACTTTTGTTCTTGTTTTTTCTTACTTCATTTCTATCTATTTCTTCTATTCTTGGGCTGTTTTACATCTATTTTAAGTGTTGGAA